GGTCAGAAAGACTCAGTTCTGGGAACTTAGCCTCAGTCCTGGGTGTGCCACTGCTTTCTGGGCTATGGCTGGTCAAACACAGGTTGTAGAAGGAGTTGCAGTCAAAAGATGTGATTACCTCTCTCCAGCCCACCCAGCAGCCTACATCTCACTGGGGCTTTTGGATCATCCCAGTAACAAGGGTCCAATACCAAGATGCAGGCTACTATGCCTGGCCACAGGCAGACTCCCAGCAAGGCTTTATACTGGACATAATTCATTTATACTAGTAACGAAAACCACAAAGTATATAAAAGCACAACAAAAAAATGTAAGATGTTTATGGAGAAATTTTAAAAACAGTATTGGAGAGCTGAAGAAATGGAAAGATCTCCTAGGTTCACGGATGGAAATGTTTATTTCCAAAGTGTCAAATTTATCTAATGATCCATAAATTCAGTGTACTTTTAATAATCACAACAGGGTTTTCATAGAACTTGACCAAAAAAAGCCTGAAGAGAACAATAAAAACAAGAGACTTGCTTTACCCAACCCCCCCTCCTTCCCCAAAGTCCTATTATAAAGCTTTGGTAATTGAAAGTAGATTGTGTAGGCAAGGGATAAATAGATAACAAGATAAAAGGAATAGAGACAAAGAATAAACACAGGTACATATATACACATCTGTGAGTGAATTAACATCACATTCAATGAATGCTACTGGGGCAACTGACACAGCATAAGGAAAACATAAAACTTCATTTCTTCTTGACAACATTTATAAAAATAAATTTCAGATGACATGTTGTGCTACATGTGGAAAAAAAACTTTATAACTGTCTAGCTATTAACCTAGCTATGCATTTTCAGTAATTTATGAGAAAATAACTGGAAAAAAGCAAAAAGATATATGCACAAGAATGTATCATCAGGTCCTTCTAATGTTAATTATAATGCAGAAAAATTAAATGTAACCCAAAAATTAGTTCAACAGGTTGTATTATATAGGTAATATAAATGATAATGTGGATCTATATTACTTATATGAAAATGAATCCTATGAAAAGTAGATTATATGTAACTACAGTAATCAACACCATAGTATTGGTGGATACTAATTGTTCTGTTTAATGGAACAGAACATAGAAGTCAGAAATCCATCCAAACAAGTACATTCAACTTATTTTGATAAAGGTGCAAAAGCAATTCAATGGAAGAAAGATGACCTTTTCAACAAGTGTTGCTGGAGAAATTTAGACATTTATAAGCAACAACAAACAAAAACAAAAAGAACCTTGACCTAAGTCTCACACCTTATATAAAAACATTCAAAGTGAATCATGGAGTCAAATATAAAACATAAAACTATAAAACTTTAAAGGAAAAATGAGACACAGGAGAAAATCGTTGGGAATTAGAACTAGGTGACAAATTCTTAGACTTAACCCAAAGTCATGATCCATAAAAAAATTAATTGGATTCCACCAAAATTAAAAATCTTTGCTCTGTGAAAGATTTGAAATGAAAATGGAAAGACAAGTTATAGACTGGGAGAAAATGTTTGCCAACCACATATTCAGCGAAGAACTGGTATCTAGAATACATAAAGAACACATAAAGAACTCTTAAAACTCAACAGTAAACAAATGACCCAATTAGAAAATGGGCAAATGACATGATCAGACTTTCAACAAAAACAACATTTAGATGTCAACTAAGCACAAGAAAAGAAGTTAGTTATTATTGGTCATCAAGAAAATACAAATTAGTATTTTTGGTTAATATTAATGCAAATTAGCCTTAACTCCTGGTGGCACAAGGTGTTAAGGCTCAGCACTCTGAAGCTATCAGCAGCCACTGCAGCACACATTCTATCCCCGGCCAGGGGACTGACCCACATGGTGCAGCAGACCTCTCCTGTCTCACCCGCTGCTCCCCTCAGCAGTGTATTTCAGTCAGTCCTCCTGTTCTGCTCCCCACTCTGTTTCTGGTAAATCCTCTCACCTCCTCCCCACCTCTGGTCTAGACCCCAGTTCTTGTATGAATAAATAAATAAAATACAAATTAAAACTACTGTGCAAAATCCCTACACATTTAGAATGGATAAAACAAAAAACAGGACATTATGAATGGCTGACAAGGATGTAAAAAACCTGGAACACTTATATAGTCATTTATTAATGATGTTTTAGTCATCGATGGATCATAGGAGTGATCCCACTGGCTACACCATCTAGGTATGTATAATTACATTCTGTGACATTTGCACAATGACAAAATCAACAGAGGGCATATTTCTCATTTAACTACATATTCCTGTAGTTAAATGATGCATGACTATGCATTACTAGTGAGAATGTAAAATAGAATAGACACTCTGGAAAGCAATTTGTCAGTTTCTTAAAAAATTAACATGCAATTACTCAACAATTGAGCGACTCTTTCTCTGGACATTTATTCCAGAGAAATGAAGACATAGGATCACAAAAAACAAACAAACAAACAAAAACATACAAGAATATTTGTACATGCAGTTTTATTCACAACAGCCTTAAACTGGAAACTAATCAGATGTTGTTCAATGGGTGCATGGTAAAACCTGCTGCTATACTTTCATATGATGGAATACTATTCATCAATAAAAAGGAAAGAACTATAGATGTAAACAACAACCTGAATAAATTTCCAGAGAATTATTACAGGAAGTGAAAAGAGTCAATCCCTAAAGGTTACATAATATCGGATTCCATTTACACAGTACTTTTGACAGGACAAAATTATAGAAATAGATAAGAGATTAATGAATGTCAGGGGTTAAGGAGGGAAAAGAGGGAATGTTGGTGTAGCCATAAAAAAGCAACATGAGCCTTGCTTGTGGTAATGTGAATGTTCTGTCTCAATGTTAATATCACAATTATGATACTGTACTATAGTTTCAAAAGATATTACCATTAGTGGAAGCTGGGGAAAGGAAACATGAGCTCTCTGTGCTACTTCTTACAACTGCATGAGAATATACAATAATCTTAAATGAAAGGAGGAATATAAGGTGATTTCACTTTTGTAAAATCTACTTTATTACATATAATATGATATATACTATTATCATATATCATATATTACATATAATACATGATATATAATAGTTTAATATACATAATAGAGAAATGTCTAGAAATAAGAGTACTAGTGGTTATCTCTGTTGGTGAGGTGATGACTGATTTTTTAATTTCTTCTTCATAGACTCATGTATTATAGAAAGTTTTCTAATAGGCATGCTATAATAGTAAGGAAAATAAATGAAGCTCTTTTCATTATGAAAGAGAGAAGAAATGCTCACTGCATACTTTTTCACTGACATTTTAAAAGCTGTTTAACATTTCATTCTATTGAACTATTAATTTTACTATTTTTCTCTTACAGGGACTTAATAATTAAGTCTAATTTCTTAGAATATATGTCTCCATTATGAGTATATATGTAAAAGCATTTCATTCTGTCCCTGTCTGAACATTCAAAACCTACCTCTTTTTACCTTATTCACTGTGCTCTAGTCAGTCTCAACTCCTTGCTGCTCTTTAAACACATCTCACACACCTTCACTCCATGCTGTTGTCTGAATATCTACAGGGCTCGCCCCCTCACTGACTTCAGGACTTTGTTCAAATGTCCTCTATCTAAGGCCTTCCATTCTGTGTAAATTAGCAACTCTTCTTCCTAGTACTTCATCTGTATTTACTTGCTCTGTTTTTCTCCAGTTAACAACATATCACTTTATTAAGGTTTTCATGATTTCTCTAATTCTTTTCTGAAATCCTATCTTCCAAAGTTTTGCCATCCCAACTCATATGGATTATAAGTTTTATTACTAGGAACATGATCAGCTCAACTCAATTTATTTCCAAGTTCTCCCTCCTACAACTTCTATACGGATTTCCTTTCTTCATTTTGACCTCCACTCACACAAATACCCACAGTCTAATGCTGTTCACTGAGACCCAGTCATGCTGTCATGCTGCCCTCTCTGTTCAACACCCTGTGGGTGAAAATGGCCTTTCTTTTGCACTTTCCTCTCTACCTTTATAGCATTTAGTCTCTGTGCACTCTACATTAGCCAAACAAAGAAAGGTGTATAAATATAATTTATACCAAGGTGTGCTTGACTCAAAAAAGTAAAGGAAAATTATAGTTTTTATGAAAAAGATATAAAAGATTTATGTTCTTAAGATATCTCCTTTCTGATTATTGCTTTGTTTTGCCACTGCTGATTTTTTATAGTGTTTTTCACCTTAAAAGTTATTTTAGTCTAACATTATCCAAGAAGGACCTCCCTTCTGATTGTCATTCCATTCAGCACTGACCTCTACCCTCCAAACTACAAAGAGTGCCTCCTTCTGACACTCTTAAGCAAGCATTTTTCTACCTCAATGAGTCTCCATTTCATATTGAATTTCAGCAAAGTATAGCTTTCTGTCCTTCAAAATGTATTTGAAAACACCCCTCTTCTTTCCATGTATCACTACCATGGATTGTTTCTACAGGTATATCAGATACCTGTAAAGGGTTCTATGAAAAATTCTTGTTTTAAGTCAGTAGAGAATTAAATTATTTTTAGAAGAAACTACTTTGAGATAAAAAATTCATGAAAACAAAAGACCACCCTTTTTCTATTTGTTCTCTTGTTGTCATACACAACACCATATGGTTGGCTTTCTTTTTAGACTTTGTTCATGACTGCAGTGGTTGGCTTTCTTTTTAGACTTTGTTCATGACTGCAGTGGTCTGCAAATCTCATTAATTATGAATTTTTTTCCCTTGAAATATGAAATAAAGCAAGACTGAAAACTTAAATATATAACATGCTATGCTATTTTGATGGCAGGTTAAGTGATTTTAAAAACAATATTTTCTGCATTATACACAAAAGCTTCCTGAGACATACTCAACTATTCACTACTATGTTCTGTGAAATAGCCCCAAAGAGTCAGAACTTTCCTCCAGTCCCAAGGAAGACTACTTACCAGACTTCCTTGCTTTCAAAGCAATAACAGCTGCTAACTCTCTCTGCATCTAATAAAATGACAGGGGAAAATCAAGTTAGAATAAGAAAAATACAGCTATCAAAAGCAATACTCTGTTTTTTAACATGTGACCAAAATTAAGAGATGCTGCAGATAAAGCTAAATTTTCTGCCACTTTTGTTTGTTTTTAATAACATGGAAAAATCTCTGCATAGATATTTTAGACCAAAACTCTAGAGGATTCATACTGACTTATTTTGAAAAGAAATTAGTTACCCAAAAATTAGGAAAAAATAAAGAAATCAGTTGCCAGAATGCATACATTGTAAAAAATTGGTATTTATGCCACAATAATGGAAGTATCTCAAAAATATAACCACAAGACATTCAGAAATAGTGCAAATAAGAAATGATTGAAACAGGCAGGATGCTAGGAAAAATACATGAAATATTATTTATCCTTCACAGATTCTAGAAAAATTGAAATAAGTGATCCTGGTGTAATGGGACTTCTGCTCAAATATAATGAATGTTCACTTGGAGCTGGAAAGGTTTACAGCAACAATTTGCATCATATGTCACATAAAAGCAAGTGCTATCGATTCATAAGGCAGGTGAAATGGGAGTGAACGAGATAAACTTTAAAATTCTAAGTGCCTTAAACCCCACTTATTTGTCCACATTTTTGCTTTCTCACACACTCTCTTTACCTTACACATTTTGAACACAAATTCTTTCTCAAAAAACAGTCTCAAAAAGGAAAATAAAACAGACAGAAAAGATAATCACAGTCACTTTCAAAGGGAGTATTTAAAAATGATAATATGAGGATAATCTTTGGGAAAATCCATGTTTGGTAGCAATAAAAATTCCAAAATTAGCATGCTTGTTCAGTTTCAGGATACAATCTCATAAGTTTAGAAGTATGCATGTCTGTATTCAGGAGTGTGGAGGTAGTGGTGGTGAGTTCGGAAGGATCCTATGGCTTGCTATATTACACAAGGTTAATGATTTGCTATTGAAATTCATCTAATCATATTTATTTGAAGGCAAGTGCTAGACAATGGAACTTCACTGAGGACTGCTTTTGCCCTGGTCAGGTTATCATCACCCTTGGAAAAGGCAGCTTCCCCAGCACTGCTTTACCACTCTGATTTCCCTGGCTGCCTAGTGTAAATGCCATTCAAAAGGGTAATCTCTTCTTCCATATGATCCAGCAATTCCACTCCTAGGTATTTACCCAAATGACACAGAAACATTAATTCCAAAGGGCACATGCACCCCTATGTTTATAGTAGCACAATTTACAATAGCTAAGCTATAGAAACAACCCAAATGCCCAAAAACAGGTGACTGGATCAAGAAGATGTGGTACATATACACAATGGAATATTACTCAGCAATCAAAAAAGATAAACCCATGCAGTTTGCAGCAACATGGATGGAGCTAGAAGGGATCATGCTCAGCAAAATAAGTCAGAAAGAAAAATACCGGATGGTCTCACTCATAGCAGGAATTTAGAAAACCTAAATAAGGGACCAGGAAAAAGACTAACTAATACAAAGTAAAAATTAAAATCAATAAGCAACTATGGACCGGAGATGCACTGCGGCAGGGTGGGGCGTGGTATGGAGAGGAAGGATTAGGGTCAAAATAAGGGGGGGGGGTGCAACTGTATGGGGAATATAACCAAAATGAAAATGCATACATTGTGCAAAAATGGAAAATGATTTAAGAATTATATAAAAGCAAATATTAAAAAAAAAAAGGGTAAGCTCTTGATCTCACTGATTCTATGATACCTGAAGACTCTCTCATGGAAATGACACAATAATGACAAGACAATCACTTCCCCTCAATCTTGGGAGCCTGTAATCTGAAAATATTCATGGTAAGAAAATTTGTCATTGTAGATCTTATGGGGAAAGAGTGTTAGGAAAGACAGAAGTGATGAGTGACCACAGCAGTGAAAAGCAGCAACCAAATATCTGTTACAGCACTCTATATTTAAATTGTGTGTAAGGCTTATTGTAGTATTACCATCTCTTTTCAGGATTTTCCTCCTTCAGATCATTACAAATATTTGCGGGGTGGAGCAAAAATACAGACAACAAACATTCACTGGGAACTTGTGACTATCCCTGACTTTAAGATATCCTAAGGAAGATCATCCTGTGAGAGACAGCAAAGAAGCAGAGGTAGAAAAATGATGCAAGAGGTGGCTCACTTAATCCCTCACAAAGCATCAAAACTAGTCTTCTCAACTCCCTTCTTTCAGTTTCCCATACCTGAAATTTTCTTCAGGAGTTCTTCAGGTTTTCCTTCTCTAATTAGAAATAAGGTTCAAAATATAAATGGCTCAGAAAGGTAAAGTACTGTATTCCCAACACTGGATATATTCAAAGATTTGTTGGGGAAAGGAAAGGAGAAATGGGATAAACAAGAAACCAATACAGGGAGCCAAGAAGATGAAAGATTGGGTATTAAAAAAGACAAGAACTCCAGAAAGAACCTAAGCTTTTCTTTTTCAACACAAAGTGATGGAGATTAGTCCAGTGTACTCTTGCTACAAAATATGAACATCAGGAGGCTTTAGGAGTATTTTATGGGGGTAGAGATGGAGTGGTGTAGAATAAACTCCATGTTTCTGCTCCGGGAAGGAAAAGGTTTTTGATAAAACTTCCAAGTGTAGGTTATTCCTCACACAAAGCACAAAGGGGAAAGCAGCGATCAAGCAAAATACAAACTAAGACATCATTATGTGCTCCTATGGCATCTTCACAGCACTTCTTTTTTGTGTGCGCAATCACTTAATTAGTCACTTTAAATGGTATGATTAATGCTTGTCTTCTGGACAGAAGTTCCACTGAGTCAGGTAATGTTTGTCTTTTTTTGTAGTATTATCCAGGGCAATGAACACTCATTCACTGACCCACAGGAGGTGGACACAGAAGCAACCTTAAGGGAACATGGAAAGGGCCTAACACAGAGAATAAGCTGCCTGAGGGAGGATAATAGAAGTAGAAAGAGAAGGCATTCCCCAGGATTAAGCTACCTGCATAGAACATATATAGAATAACAACATATTAGGAGGACTCAAAGCTTTCTTTGCCAGTAATTTTAGGTCTATATTGAAAACTAAAACTTTGAGTGACTGCAGAAACAGAGACTAGAATTTTCCTTAGGTACTAATACAGAACCTGTTCATAATGAAAAAGAAATATAGTATTTTACTAACAGCCAAGCCTTCAGATGACTAAGGTCCTGACCCGCATTTTGACAGCAACTTTCAGCAAAGATGCTCTTGAATTCCTGATATTCAAGGAATTGTTTGTGATATCAAGTAGATGTTAGTTTAAACCATTAAATTTGGGGGTAGTGTGTTATGCCACAGTCTTTTATAGGACCATGATTGTCTATTATCTACTTATGTCATTGGATAATGTAATTTTTCTCATGACTGAAGTAGAAACCTCTTTCAGGTAAGGCCCAAGAAACGTGCACAAGTAAAGCCAAGAACCTGATACTGGTCATTGCTTTTCTCTAACACAGGAGTTAAACTACAGCCTAGGTAATTAAAAGATACGCATTGTTCTGAATCTGACAGGAAGTACATTATTGTCCTGCCCTTTCTACATGACTTGAAGCCTCTGGGACTACATGTATTTCAGATTTCAAAATTTTGCATATTACAGAAAGGTAACCCATCTATGTCACATCCTCAGTGAGGTCTAAGGCAGCAACTTGCAATCAAGTACATTAATATTTCTGCAATGAAATGCATAATTATCCATACCACATGAGATGAAAAACTAGAAAAAGCCTCAGGACTTTCCACTAAATATGTTCAGTCTTGGTTAGATTGTCACCATGTTAGGAAAAAGTTTTGTTATCAGAGCTTTTGTATTTCAGAATGGTGAATAATGGATTGTAAACCTCTGATGATTTTATGTTTATGTGTCTCTCCCACCTTTCTCTCATGTCTCTTGTCAAATACTATGTCATGATGTTTTGTCTACTAGGAAATGCTTTCTTTAAATAGCTAGGGCTTTCATCTATTTCAGTAGTTCTCAAACCTGACTGCAAATTAAGATCACTCTGGGAACTTTAAAAAACTATGGCTACTTGGGAACCAACTACATCAGAATCTCTGGGTGAGGATCCAAGACCAGGCATCAGTGTTTGCTGCTGTTATTGTTGCAAAGGTCCCTAAGTGATTCTATTCAATATAGTGTCTTAGTTTTCCTAAGACTCACCCTTTTAATCTTATAATCATTTTGACTCTGTTCCCCTCTTATTGAGTTCATTTGTAAAGAAACATAGCCTTCACCATGTGTTAGGTATAAAGTTGAACTATACTCCAATCAAATGATAAGATTCAATTACTACATTTGCAGTTTGACAGACAGATCCACTCAAGTACAAGAAATATTGTAAGGAAGCTGTTTTGTTGCTGTTTTATTGTAAGACATTTTATTTTTCATTATGTGTATTGAGGTAACATTGACTTACAACTGTTTAAACGTCTTAGAAGTACAGGTTCACAACTTTACATATGTCTTGGCATAGCACACCCACCACAGTCCAGTGGGCCTCTCCCACCTCTAGTCCAACTCTCTGGTGGCCTCAGTTATGCAATCAGATTTCAAGGGTTAGTTTGGGTTTGTTTTTGTCTGGTCCTTTACTTTGTTTCTTTATATTTCACATGAGTGAAATCATCTGGTATTTGTCTTTCTCATAAGGAAGCTTTTGAAGAAGCTTCAACTTTAAAATATAGTATACTCAATATAAAAAGAACTGTATAATTCAAAACGCATCTGCAGCTTGGGCTATATTTGTTCTTATGAATATCTAAATAGAGGATAAATGAGGGCTGATAAGACAGATCTCAAAATGTTCCCTTTTTTTTGGTTACTCATCAGAAACATGTTTAAATGTTTTGGTTTTCTATCTTCAATAACCAGCAGGAATGTTCACAAAATAGCCCTGACATGCAATAAGAATCAGTCAGTCTTATTTCCAGCATTTTGTCTTCTTTTCTCCCTGGG